TCGCGGCGGCGTCTTCTCACCGAGGTTAAGATCCAGCGGGCACCAAGGATGCAGGCCGCTCGAGAGGCCCCGCAGCTCCATCCCGACCCGGAGACACCGGCTCGCCGCCGCCGTGCTCAACTTTTAAAGCTCGCTCCCGCGCGCGCGCGCGCTCCGAGGCGTTCCTGCGGACCAATCACAACGCGCAGAATGCAGCGCTGGCCGCTCGAGAGGCCCCGCAGCTCCATCCCGACCCGGAGACACCGGCTCGCCGCCGCCGTGCTCAACTTTTAAAGCTCGCTCCCGCGCGCGCGCGCGCTCCGAGGCGTTCCTGCGGACCAATCACAACGCGCAGAATGCAGCGCTGCCCAATCACCGCGCCGAGCCGTTTCAGGCCCGTAGCCAACCCTCCCGGCCGGCCGCCGCAGGCGCGGGGAAGGGGGCTGGGCAAAGTTCCGCGGGGGGAATTTTTTACATTCCGGTTAAAGTAGGGGCCGGGAACTAAATTAAAGCTTCCACGCGTCTCTCACACCTCGTTTTATTAAGGGGGTGGAAGTTAAGTGAAAATTTGAGACAGGGTACTTCCTGTATAGCTGTCACCTTTGCCCCCTGTCAAGCGACATTTCGTGTGCGTATCAAAGGGCTACCTCCGCCCGGTCAGACGGCACTCGAACGCTGCCTATATCCGAATTCGGATGGCAGCCCAACGTTTATATAGCTAAAACGATAAGGGAACTGCAACCAAAAGCGTCCCGGGGAGACACCTGCGGCGCCTTTGATTTCACCGGACAACTGGGCCGAATCCTACTGGAAAGAGGCCGCGGCTGCCATGTCAACTAAGGGAAAGACAGGCCGCCTTTCTTTCCTTGCACATGCGCAGCGAGCACACCTCCTGGCGGCCTGGAGGCCAAACGAGGGAGAAAGGGGCTTGCGCATGCGCGCGGCATCTCCAGCGCATCCGGGCCGGAGCTCGCCTCCCCCCTTCCCCGCCCGCAGCCGCCGAAGCGCCTCGGTGCGTTGCACCGCCGGAGGCCGGGCAGCTCGCCGCGCCGCGCGGGGGCCG